TCATCCATTTTATTTTCGGATTTTCCCTTATAAACCATCCATTTTAGGGTGCCCTGGGTATTTTTTTAGGGAACCCCCTTTTTGGGCCATGCCAAAACGCCCAACCAGGTCAGCTACTGCTGTCGGGAGCTCCCGTGATTGTGCCAGGCTGATGATGTCATGTCGGAAAGGAAACATCGAAGGGTTCACCAAATGATGGGTTTATGTTGGTTTATAACTAGGCTAACTCTTGGATGTAGAAAATGTGATGTATCTACAGCTTCTCTGTGGCAAAACTGACGATTTTTGTTGGCTAGAGGAAGCATCCTGCACTGTGGCAGTGTTGAGGCTTGTTAAATTCTTGGGATACATTGGGGACGCCAATGAGATCACTCATGCGGCCAATTTAATGCCCAGCTGCGAAAGATAAAAAACTTTGGGGGATCTCCGTCGATGGCGCAGGACCTGCTGCTGCCATGGGTGGAAGTGGGGAGCCACAGCGAAAATTGTGAGGCTGACTGTTGGTTTGGGAGTGTCGTTTTTCAAAAACCGTGTTTCTTTTGAAAACCTTCATACGACTTTTCAATCATGACTTTTGAGGTTTCGTGCTTTTTGCAGAGGGTTCATAACTTTGATATTTTCTGTATCTTCCTGTTCACCTGTTTTTGTATGGTGACTTTGGCACCAATCTTGGCGTTTTTTGTTGGACCCAGGCACACCCTTGAGCCCTGTGCCTGCTGCCTTTATGTCAGGCCTGGAACAGATCGCCAGTTGGGAGATGGGACACCTTTCCGCTGATGATGGCGCAGCAAAATAAAGAATGATAGGTCATATAGTGCGAGGTATGGGTTAACGCCGTAAATGAACAGTGTTAAAAATTCCTGTTAGTTCATTTTTTTCAAGGGGGTTACAGTACCCAATATCTTGGGGACTCTCGTAATCCATCGTGGGGAACCCTATTATATATATAATATATATATACATAACCAACCAGTATTTCATGGAATGACACTGCTGGATTTCAACACTGCTCAAATGACGCCAAAAGTTGGTTTATCTGCATCCCAACATGACGACCATGCAGCAATGCAGCAACCATGCAGCAGAAGTTCAAAGGCTGTTGCGTGACTCTGAATTCTTTGATATTTTCGAAGTATTCTTTCTTACAGGTACAGGGTAGGCTTGTGAATGATACTGATCTTTAGGATTATTTATGTATGTTCAGAATTTATATCTATTGACTATATATATATATTTGACCAGCCACACCCAAAGATCTGGAGAACTCCCCTGAAATCACAGCATTTCTTCAGCCACGCCAGGCCATTCGATGCCAGGAACACCCATGCCGGTGGTCCCACACGTGACTTGATGACAATGATATGCCTGGGTCCAATCTGTAACATCTTAAGTCTCTAGGGGATACCAAAAGCATGAATAGAAACTAAGGCTTTAGATGTTGGCTTTGGGTTTTTTCATAGGAAGCGAGAGCCTGTTCAATTCAAAACCAACATGGGGTTGGTTTGACATGCAAAAGTCATGCATTTTTCTCTCGAGGTTCATACTTCCATTGAACAAGCACCCAAGGCAGATGGTAAGAAATACCCTCTGGTAAACTAACGTAACTATGGAAAATCACAATTTTTAATGGGTAAATCCATTATAAATGGCCATTTTCAATAGCTATGTTAGTTTACCAGAGGGTAGACTCCCTCTATTCCTCTATTCTTCCAAAAACGAGACATCATACTTCCAGTGGAATTCTTGAAGAATTGCGTTCTATCTATTTCGATTAAAAAACTTAGGGCTGTACAAGTACAACGAGTGAATGTTCCATTCAAACATGAAAGGCGCCAAAGGTGGCCGCACCTTTGACGGTTGATCGCTGGTGAACATCTGCCCTCTTTGTCGATGGAGCATGTGTTGGTTGGTGATCCACTTTTATTTGACCATATTTACCAAATCGCTTTTAGATAAATGCACATTTTGCTTGGTGATATCCATGTTATTTCAATATGGAACACATCAATTTTTTCCTGTCGGAGTTTTTTGGATGAGCCAAGTTTGCTTGGAGGGTAAAGCCATCACCATGATTGAATATTAACTGTGGATGGTTGCGAAATCCTGCGTTGGTAGATGGTAAACATCCCATTTTTAAATCCCATTTTTACAAAACAAGTTACCAACTGGTGCAGGATTTCGCAACCATCCACCGTATCATTATCAACTAACCTAGATTGAAGAAGTTTGATTTACTGGAGAGTATCATCCACAGCAACATTATGGAAAACCCAATACTTGATTGGTATATCACAGTCATAGCTGATTGGTATATCATGATGATTTGCACTGAATAATCAACTAATGACAGTCATGATCTCAATAATATCCCAGTAACTACATGACATAACTTACATATCATATCCCAACAGTAACATCCCAATATTATCTAGTAATATCCTCATAATCATTGTGTATATATATATACACATACATACATAGAGTACATGTGTATACATGATTACAGTTATCCCCATAGTAACTCATATTCCCCAATCTCAACTAGTTACTATAGTTGTACCATACTTTTTTATTGCATGTTTAGCAATGTTTACATATAATTGTACCATACTTTCCCATAATAGTATATTCCTATTTCATACTGTTCTCAAATAGTTGTTACTATAGTTGTTTCCTAGATAATATACCAGTAGGAGTTGTAATTTCTATCATATAGTTATCACTATATTCCAGATCCCAATATTATAAGGTAATCACAATATACATATATATATAGAGTTATATACAGTAATTCCCAATAATGTGGGTAAAACAATGTCATAGACCAGCCACTACTGGGAATGGAAACCATACGCACCACCTATAAAGATGGTGATTTGGATTTGGGGGATGGTTTATGGCATTGTTTTACCCACATTATAGAGAATACGGGTAATGTTATATCCCATCAAATGCCCATTAAATAAGGTTTATGAAGGATATAGGTATAGTTAATTGGAATTTAAGTGGATATAACAGATATATCTACCTGGTTATTTAACAGTTCGCCATGGGAAAATCACCATGCTATTAATAGGTAAACCATCTATTTCGATTAGGGCCATCGAAAAACCATGGCGAACTGTCAGCCAATTGTTTGATCATCGAAGAGGCCACTTCGGATCGCATGGGCGCTGCGGCTGCTAAGGTGCCCCCCGGTGATTTTTTTTTGATTTTTTTGGGCGCTTGGGGAACTAAGATAGATGGAATTTGAAGGGGATTTGAATGGGATAGTTGATGAAAATCGCTGGTGATTTTAAAAATTCAAGAGTTTGCGAACTGGAAATTGGATGAACATGGCCCATTTATAGATGATTTACCTATTTTAGAACTGGTGATATTCCATAGCTATGTTGAACTACCAAAGGGAACATCCACATTGACAATTGATGTGGTAAATATTGAACCCAGCAGAAACACTGTAAAATAGAGATATATTAATCCAACAAGAGGGATATTAGTAGTACATCGCCATTCTTGTTGGCCAACACCATCCATATCACGATGAACAGAGAGGGATTTAGTAAGCAAACATTGTGATTGAAGCGAACACACACATACACACACATACACACATACACACATACATATATATATAGACACATGCACATATACATACACATATACATACACATATACATATACATATACATAGATATCTATGATATAGTGGAAGTTGTAGTGAAACCTAGGAAGGACATTTTGGAACTAGAAATTCTGCGATCAATCATGGCTTGAAATCGTCGAAACCAGCACATGGATAGACGAGATATGAGGTAACTTCTATAGAGACCGGGCTAAAACCAACAAACATCTGTTACCTTCTGGTAACTTAACGTAGCTATGGACAATTCCCAATTCTAATAGGTAAATCATCCATAGAACTATGGGCCACTATCAATAGCAACCTCTTAAATGACTCGAGGATATACCCAGCTCAGCATGTGAAGCCGAAGGATTGAGAACGTTGCCGATCCAGCAAAGATCATACTGCAGAGGAGTTTTCCCATGAATGATATTATAATGTTTATTGATATCATTATAATTTTCATGATTTCATTGCATATCATTGTTCATATTGCTATTACAGTATTTTTTTAACTAGCATTATTTTTAATATTGTTAATGTTATTATAATGTCAATGGCAACTCCAGGATCCTAAATTGGAGGTACCCCTACCATGTATAAGGCCTATGTAAGGCCTATGTAAGTGAATATCCCAGCAAAATATTGCCTTATATGGTACAGTACCTACATTTTGGGATCCTGGAATTACCATTGATAATGGTTCTTATTATTATATTGTTGTTAATATTCTTCCTATCCACAACCGAATGGGTTCTGCATTGGTCTATCTCCCTATCCAGCTTTTGCAAAATTGCACAATTCAATTGCAAACAATTCAAATGATTGTACAAATATAAAATTGCAGAATTGTACCCTATTGCGACATTTTTGTCCGCAAACAAATATAATTCGCTGACGTTCAAGTATAACTGGCCTGCCTGCCTTGTCCAATTTGCCTTTCGGTAATCAAACTTGGCAATGGACAATCCCCGAACTAAATGCAGCTTTGAATGGAAAATCATCTACAAAATTAGACTTTACATGATATTTTCCATTTTCACGTTTGCTTACCAGAGCAAGTTCCTCATAATTTATAATATTTAGAATATGATCCCCATGTTTTACTCCAAAGGTGCATTCTCAAGTGCAATATATGGCCCGAGCGTTAACTTCGGGTGCCGGGGCTGGGAGCGCCATTGCTTTGCTACGCCACGCCTTTGATAGGGCGGATTGCGAGCACCATCAGATCCTGACCTCTCTGGCTGTTGGTTTCCTTTTGGGCTGCCTGGTTTACCCCATCATTGAGGCCCTCCTAGCCTACAGGTGGTTGGTGCCGCAAGCGGTGTTGGCACGAGCCTCTGCATCGGGGCGAACGGCCTAGCTTTCGGATCATATGAGCATCGGCGAACTGAAGGCCCTGGGGACTGAAGTTGCTGAGCCCAAAAAAAAATTAGCAAAGTTGCGTTTAGAGCTTTCCTCCCTCAAACGATTTTTGTTAGAGAAAGAGTCTGGTGAATCCGAAAGTTCTTTTTCTTTTGTTTCAGAACCACCCCTTGCTGGCCCACGGGCCGAACTGTCAGCTGCAGCTGCTGATTTGTTTCCACAGCCATCTTGGTGTGGGAATGTCTCCTGCAGTGGTTCGAGATCCAGCCCCGCTTCTACCATCTCTTGGGAGCGTCGTCTGGAAATTAGCCGTGAGGTTGGCAGGTTCTTGGCTCCTGCAGTAAGATCGGAGTACCATGGCTCTTCTGGCAGAGAGAAGATCCCCTTAGCATCTCGTTTCTGGTTGGTGGCGAGAAGCTTCCACGGCGAGGTGCTCAATCCCATTCGTGTCTTCTCCAAGTGGGGCCTTGCCAAGGAACTGGTGAAACGCGGCTCTGAGTGTGGCGAATCGGTCTTCGTGGGGCTTCCATCGCAGTGTGAGATTGGGTGTGCCATTGCGGCATCTGGTCTGCGGTGGGACGGCAAGAACTTGAGGAGCCTGAATCATCGCAGAACTATTACGTGGTGAACGGCTCTTCCTTCCAGCACGATTACCCTATTGGTTTTCTCCCTGCAAACGTGGAGAGCGGGCCATTAATTAAAATAGTTTTCATCACTGAGATTGACAACAAGGTCTTGGTGTGTGTTCCTTTTTCACCATGGCATCGTCAAGTGAGCCGCCGTGTCCTGAAAGCTACGTTGACAAAGCCAAGTGCAGTGGAAGTTTTGGCAGTTCCAGAAGAATCTCGAGAAGAGCCTCAGGAAGAAGCCAAATGCATGAAGTTGTGGGTCGGTTTGATCACCCACGAATTGGTGGGGCATGTGCATTGGGACGAAGATCCCGGAGCAGCAGAATGTGCTTTCACTCTAGATGGTGTGCAAGGGTTTGTGCCTTTTGCCAAATCTTTGGCGGATGCAGCTTCCGAGCATTTTGCGTTCCTCTCAGCAGAGAGCATGGAAGCGTCTGGTCTGGATCTCAAAAGCTGGACTCTCGCATGGACAGGTTGGAGCTGGTAGTAGAGAATCTATCAACAACTTTCCAGACCTTTCTTTCTCCGCAATCGAGCCAACAAGCTGCCCCAAAGTCTTCTATCCAGGCTACGCCAAAGGCTCAGACGAGGAAACCAGCCTTGCGGAAGTCAGGTGTCAGTTTGGAGAACCCGTATCCAGACCTGGATCCGGGCATGGTGGAGGCGGCGTTAGCGTCTGGCATAGAGAAGTCTTCTTTGGAGCAGATGCAAGCATTGGTGAGCAAAGGTTTGAAGAAGAATGTGAAGCTTACCGACCCCTTTCTGGGGAACCTAGCCGACCCTCTTTCCGAGAGCGAAGGCGAGGTGCCAGAAGAGGAAGACGGGTCTGTGTTTGCGCCAATTTCTTCGGACCCCGTTGCAGCTGCGCTTGGGAAACTGACGGAGATTGCGGGGGTGCTTGCAGAAGACCGGAAAAAGAAGCCTTCTGTTTCAAAACTGGAAGCTGCTCTGGATTCTGCGCATGGCGGACACAGCGAAGTTGCGGTGGGGAGTGGAAAACGTTTTGCAGCAGCTTGGCGAGCTTTTCGCGTGATTCTGAGGGACGCCCCAGGGGACGTTTCTGCATTGATCGAGAAATAAATGATGGAAGATTTGCAGGGAGCCACAGTGACTCCGGGGCAGCCCACGCCTATGCTGAGCAGCAGGGTGTGGGTCGAACACAGAAGCCGCATAGGGGCTTACAAGACTTCAGCCCATGCAGCCTGGACGATGTCGGGGGCTCTGGATTGCTTGTTCAAAGGCGATGTCACAGGATGCAGAGCGCGTTTGAATCTGGGGCTTCTTCAATTGGACCAGACTGCGATCGACAAGGGGAATTGGGTGTTAGCCTCAGGCCTTTCTTTGGAACCACCTCCTCCTTTTGCACAGCCAGGGGAGACCTCCCTTTCTCTCGACTGTTGGACCCTCGGTGGGCAGAAATTTCAGTAGCTCATCTGCAAGACAGACAGTTATCTGACCAAAAGGAAGAATTTGGGAAAGGGCTGTACGGAAGTGACGAAGGAGAGCTTGGATCTGACCCCAAAACGAAAGGCAAAAGCAAAACCAAAGCAGAAATCTGGAGAAAGCCTTCCTCAAGGAGGGGAAGATTGAAGCGTGATTTGCATGATGTTCCTGAAGCTCCAACAGTTCCCGGTGAGAGAGCTTCGACTGTCAGCGTTGCGAGTTTTTTGAATTCATTGCCAAGAAGTGTGTTTCGTAGCAGGTGCACTTTTGACTTTTGGTTTTTTTTTGCGTGACCTCATTCAATGCCATGGCTCTTGTGATGAAGAGCCCTCTCTCGACTCCGATGCATCTCCATGGCCTATGCCCCTGCCTTTTCCTGAGTGTTTTCGTCGTTATATGATGGTGTTAGCAAAGTTCCGATGTTTAAAAAGCGGATGATTTGCTTGCAAGTAGCTCTTTTGGATTGGCTTGTGCTTGGGTGCCCCAAACATGCACCCAAGGAACTATTCCTGGGGAAGAAACTAAAGTCCAGCCAGTGGAGTGTAGACTCTCTTGCATTTGAGTTGGGATGCGAATTCGCCTAATAAGGTTACAGCTTGTATGATGGGGCGTACGGCCTCCTTTTGAGGATGAGGTCGCCGCTTTGCATGCTTGTGCTGAGAAGTTGCAACCCGAGAAGGGCTTTGCTTTTTTTTCCCTGGGTCTGTAAAGGCCAAGGTTGCATGTTTTTGGATGAGGGTGAGAAAGCATCTTTTCGAGCTGGAGTCCCATCGGGCCAAGCCCATGAACACAACAGCTGCCAAAGAGCTGATTCCTGAGAGATTGAAATTTCCACCACCTCCTGCTTTTGACCCTACACCTCTTCTAGATGAGAAGATTGCATCGGTTTACAACAACCCCATAGCATGTGGTAGGAGCCCTGTGGATGCTGAGACTCAACCTCCAAAGGTGCAGGTCAGAGCTACTAGGGAAAATTTGGTCTCACTCTAAAAAAAACTGGAGCAATCTGGGAGGCTGCAAATAGTTCCTCCCAACCAAGTTCGTCATGGTTTTTTGAAAGGCCTGTTCGCTGTAGGGAAGGATGCTCTGCTTGATCGTGTGATTTTGGACGGCCGTCCTGCCAACTGTTTGGTGCAAAAGCTGGACTCTTGGACTGCTTCTATGGCTTCAGCTACATGTTTGGTGGATATATGCGTTGGTCCAGGAGAAGTGTTGTTGTGCTCTGGAGAAGATCTTCGCGACTTCTTCTACCAGTTCAAAGTCACTCCCTCTAGGACAGCACGTAACACCTTGGCCGAGCCCCTAAATTTAGCAGAAGCTGATAAAGTTTTTGGCAAACAGTTTGAGGATGGCAGGGGTTTGACCTACTGCGGGTTGAGCTCTTTAGCCATGGGCGACACCAATGCCTGCGAGTTTGCGCAAGCTAGTCACCTTGCCATGATGTTGTTTCATGAAGTTCTCTTTTCTCACGAGCTTCTGCATATGCATGGCAAAGTGCCTCGTTCCTTTTTCTGCGGAGGGATCATCACAGATGACTTGGTGCTTCTGGAGAAATGTTTGAAAGAGCAGTTTGAGGCTGTCGGCAATGGCTTTGAGACGGAAGCTGACAGAAGGATTAGCCTTGCGTTAGAAGGTTACAAGCACAGAAAGCTAGAGCACAATCCTGGAAAAGAATTTCGAAATCAGAGTTGACGGTGAAGCCGGCATCGTGCGGGCCTCCAGCCTACGCTTGTGGCCTCTGATTCAGATTTGCTGTCAAATTTGCGAGATTGGATGGTGCTCGGTGAGTTTGCTGGAAGCCATTGCGGGATCATGGGTATCTATTTTTGGTTTGCGCAAGCGGTTGCTGTGTTTGATGGACATCATTTTTGAGCCGCTTAGCATCGAGGAAAAATCCTTGGTTTTGCAGCTTTCAGATGAATTCATTTCAGAGCTTTGGAGCTTGATTCTGGTAGGACCTCTGAGTGGAGTTAACATCAGGGCTCAATACGCTTCCTATGTGACAGCCACAGATGCTTCTTTGGATTGGCTAGCTGCTGTGCGAGCTCCTTTAGAGGCTAGTCTTGTTGAGGATTTCAGCCGCAGAAGTTTGAAGAGAGGAGCTTGGGCCTCTGGACTTTGCTAGCTCGTGGTTTGCACTATTATGAGAGGTGGAGGTTGAAGGTTGCCGTTCCAACACATATCAATGTCCTGGAAATGAAATCTTTTCTACGAGAAGAACGCTTGATCTCCTATAAGCAAAAGCATGTGAGATGTCTATTCGGCTTAGATTCACAGGTTTGCTTAGGTGCTCTTTGCAAAGGACGAGCTGGGTCCATCACTTTGAACCGAGAAATGCGGCGCAACGTTCCTCACATTTTGGGTTCTGACCTCTACTCTTTGTTTATGTATTTCCCTTCTGCGGTGAACAGAGCTGATGACCCAACGAGACATTCCATTCCTCGAGGCCCTGACGTTGATCTTCCATTCTGGTGGTCGGGCGCGCTGCATGGAGACTTTTCTGGCCATGATGCGTGGATTAAAGGTGTTGAGGAGGATGTCTTTAAAGCTCCCTTTGACCTCACTACCTTGAAGTCTACTTTTTCTCCTTTATTTGCAACTGCTCGAGAAAGGCACGACGGAGGGCTCGTCAAAAGGCAGCTACGTGTTGAGGAGAAGTTGTCCTCGCGACCGAGCGCGAATTTGTCCTCGCGGCCAAGCACGAATTTGTCCTCGCAGCCGAGCGCGAAGTTGTCCTCGCAGCCCGAGCGCGAAGTTGTCCACGCGCACGAGCGCGAATACGATATCCTTGCGACCGAGCGCGAATGTGTCCTGGCCCATGAGGGCGTTTACAATATCTGCAGATGCTGGCACTTATCAGTTTTGCTCTGAGGAATGTCTAGAGATCTTAAACTCACTGCCCAGAAAACAGTTTTTCTCCAAGAAGGGAGTTAAGACTTTTTCCGAAGCAGGCGCTCTTGACTTGTTCTCAGGCAATTTTAGTGTGGCGAGGCAGATGGTTCGGTTTGGTTGTCCATGGGTTCTGACTTTTGAGTGGAAAAGAGGAGCGGACGAAGACCTCCTTGATGAGAAGGTGCGCATGCAGATTGTCGTGTTGCTACGAGGCGGTTGCTTCAGAACCTTGGGAGCAGCCATCATTTGCTGCTCTTTTAGTGTTGCAGTGACTCCTCCAGTGAGATCTAGTGCCTTCCCTCGTGGTTTACCTTGTTTGACTCAGAACATGGCCTCCAAGGTTGATGAGGGCAATAGCCATAGCGACTTTCTTAGTCTTCTGCTACAGATTTGTCAAGAAGGCGGCATTTTTACTGGTTTGAGAGCCCAGATTCCTCTTGGCTTTTCCGACTGGAGGGTTATGCAGCATATCGATGCCCCAAATCTGAACAGATCATGAGACTTAGCTTTTGTCGTTTTGGCACTCCTTGGAGAAAGACCACAAGATTTGGCACTGATTTGCCTTCTCTGCGGGGGCTGCGCCTTCTCTGCGGTTGCAAACATAAACGCCATGGTCTCAGGGGTTATTCAAAAAGGCATCGGAAAGCTTGGACTGCAGTTGCTGAACTTTATCCAGCTGGTGTGAGTCGCCTCATTGCTAGTGGATGTTGCATTGATGCGGTGTGGAGTTGTTTCGTCAAGTTAGACGTATCTTCCTGCTGCAGGTCCAAATCGCACCGCATTGGCGAAGCGCAGAATCCTGGCCCTCGGCGTGTGGCTCCGAGAGGTGAGGATGTTCTTGAGGATGTTCCTTTGATTTCAGCAGCTACTGCAGCTCTAGAGGCGAAAGTTCTTTGCGCTTTCATCAACTGGGGTTGCAAAAGCATCGAATCGAATGTGCTGCATCACATGTTCGAGATCTCCCCGTATTTCGTGAGTCAGACAGTATGCGCTTATGGCCGAGATCTTTTTGCAGCTTGAGGAGCCTTGAGCAACTTTAGACATTTGCTTCTTGCTGTTCAAAAATGGAAACCCCTTAGTAGGTCTTTTATGAAAGAAGCTTGGGATTTAGTGTCACGGAGGGAGATTTCCGAGCCCACGCAACACAGACCACCCGTTCCAGAAGGTTTAGTTTTTGCCATGTGTGTACTTGCTTGGCAGCTTAACTGGTTTAGCTGGGTGGGATCCACTTTGCTCTCTTTCTATAGTGCTGGACTCATTGGTGAAGTTCTACGCTGCTCCAGGGGTGATTTGCCGTTTGGTGAGATGACCCATACTGCTTTTCTGAAATTTCGCCGTTTCAAATCTCTGGGACGTCAACCTTCAAAGATACAGCATATGAAAGTTCAAGATGTTCAAGCTGTCAGAGTTCTGGAGATTATATATAGAGACCTTGCTTCAGAAGCTATGCTTTATGGTGCCAGTCCAGCCGTTTTTAGACGACGCTGGGATGATTTACTGCATTTGCTAGGTGTTGAACTACCACATATACGGCTGACACCTGGAGTGTTGAGGGGAGGCTCAGCAGTGCTTCTCTGGGAAATGCGATTGAGGCAGCAATCTACCCTAGAGAGTTATTTGCAAGAAACTGGTGCTATCGGCATTCTTCGTGACCTTCCCCGTGATGTTCGTTCTAGACTTTCCACCCTCAAAGAGATGTTTCGTTTCCTCCGTTTTGGATCTCCGGGAGCTCCTTGAGCAAATGCCGACTAGACTAGTACTAACTGGCCATTCAGTTTTCTGGCTCGTTTCTCTTGCAGGTGGATACGGCAGAAGTTTTTCCAGCAAGGAGAGGCTTAGTTTTATGGTGACAGCTGCAACTCCATTCTTTGCTGCATGGGATGTCGCCATTTTCCTGCACCACCTCTACAGTCTGCAAGGTTGAGAAAACAGATCCAATTGCACGACTGCAGGAATCAAACATGATCCCCATGTTTTACTCCAAAGGTGCATTCTCGCCCTCCTCTCCTCCCTGCATAGCACACGCTGGCTTCTGGATACGGCAGAAGTTTTTCCAGCAAGGAGAGGCTTAGTTTTATGGTGACCGCTGCAACTCCATTCTTTGCTGCATGGGATGTCACCATTTTCCTGCGCCACCTCTACAGTCTGCAAGGTTGAGAAAACAGATCCAAATGCACGACCGCAGGAATCAAACACACACACACACATATATATATATAATATAATATATATATATAATATAATATATATATATAATATAATATATATATATATAATATAATATATATATAATATAATATATATATATAATATAATATATATATATAATATATATATATATAATATATATATATAATATAATATATATATATATATATAATATATATAATATATATAATATATATATATATATAATATAATATATATATATATAATATATTATATAATATATATATCATATAATATATATATAATATGTATATATATTATATGTACATGATATAATAAATAATAATAACAATAACATAGTAATAATAAGAAAATTATATATTCACACACACATATATATACATGCACCCCCCCAAGACCTACATTTTGTGTATTAGATATGTCCTTGAATGCCTTGTCTTTCTTCTTATCTTCTCACCGATTGTAGCACTGCATCAGGAAAGTATTTTGGGCGCATGCGCCTGGACACATCCTGCCCACAAATGTAGCTGCAGCTAGCGCTGTAACACCTACATTTGACATATTTATTTCAGTATATTTACACAATGTTTTTTTTTTTAAATGTGTTCAGACATTTTGAATTTTGAATATACCAGCACGATTTTTTTTTAAATCTATGTTCTGATTCTTGCAAGTCTGCTTTTGCAATATCTTCTACAACATCTAGTATTTTCACATAACCTTTAGGATTTGCAGCTGTATGATTCGGGGAATAGATGGATTGAAATTGTGTTATCTGTTTTTGCAACGGAGTATAGCATATTATCTTTATATTTTTTGATGAATACCACTTTTTGTAAGGTAGTTTTTTTTTTGAAATACTGACTACTGGTGGAATTGTTACTCAATTTTCTGTAGCAATTTGAAAGGTTTTAGCTTCTACCAAAGCTGAGCTTTGTGCAAGATTAGATGATATAGTCAGTGCATCTTGAGATTTTACATTTTTATTTACATAAGATTTTGCAGATAATGAAGGTGTATATAAAAAGTACAACAGATATGTATAAGACTGATCTCCAGTTTTATTTTTTAGACATATTGTTTTTATCTACCTTTTTAACCCTCCTGCAATTTCATAACATTCCATGAAGCTTTGCATAGTAAATTGACAATAATCAATCATATTCTCATTTGATGTTAACTGTCTTTTTTGTTCTTGTGAATCTACGTTATTTTCATTAGTTTTTTCTTCAGCATCTACAATCTTGTTTGTAGAAGAGTTGATATTTATTTGCTGTAATAGTTCATTTTTAAAGTATGTATAATGTAGATGATCTTGTAATCTCATTGCTTTAAACCCAGGAGTGCTTGAGTTAGAATATTATTTGTTAAACATAAATGATTTTGATGGTAATAAACTAGTAGGTAAAAAAATCTAGATCAGTTTTTAGCATGTTTGTCATGATATAAAATTTCTCACTTTTTTTTTAAATAGTTCTTATTTTTTGTGATATGTTTTTAGGTATTAAAGGAGTTTCTAGCATTGGGTGAATATGTATTTTCACTTCGAAAGATCCTCTATTTTTATTGGTTCTGTCAGCTCTATATTCTGAGGATCTAGTTTCAAGTTAACCAGCTTCTTTTAAATCTTGAATATGTTTTTTTTCCAGAACGATTTGCCTGTATTTTTTTTAATGATAATATTCCACCATTTTGTGATGTCAACTTTGATAGCATTTCAGGTTTTTATAGTTTATTACTTTTTTTTCTCCTCAATATAAATTGCAAACATGTTTTTTTTTAGAAAGTTTTCTTTGCCGATCTATCTGCAACCCTTTCTAATATATTTTGTTGGGAAGGTGTTGGTTGATCTGTAGATAAAGAGGTATTGCTATCGGATGAGTTCATGTATTTTTCTTATTATTGTTTATTTTTCCTTCTTTTTTGTAAAATGAATTATACATCCTTTAAGATTGCAGAAGGTTCTTTTAAGGTTCTTTTTCAATTTATTTTTATTTTTATTATGATGAATCTAATTGCCTTTATTGCATCTTTTGTGTTTTTCGTTATTTTTGCCAAGTTGGTTGATTTGCTTGGAAAGCAAAGACACAGTAATGGGCTTTGGAACTTTCTTTTTCAGGATAAGCAAGTTTATTTGAGGAATGTCCTTAGCAGACAGGACGATCATTTGAAATAAATTGCAAGTTCTGGTGAGAAATATTATTCTAAGAATCTGCATTCAAGATTCAAGGTTCAAAGCTCAGAAAAAACTTCTTCAATCCCACCTGGTTGGATTCAAGATTCAAGATTCAAGGCTCAGAAAAACATCTTCAATCCAACCTCTTTGGATTCAAGATTCAAAATTCAAGGCTCAGAAAAAACTTCTTCAGTCCCACCTGTTTGGACTCAAGATTCAATATTCAAGGCTGAAGGCCTTCGGATTCAAAAAGTTTTTTTGGGATCTTGAATCTTGAATCTTGAATCCTACCCCCTTGGATTCAAGAAGTCTTTTTGGGATCTTGAGTCTTGAATCTTGAGGCCTACCCCCTTGGATTCAAGAAGTCTTTTTGGGATCTTGAAATCTTGAGTCTGGAATCCTACCCCTTGGATTCAAGAAGTCTTTTTGGAATCTTGAATCTTGAATCGTACCCCTTGGATTCAAGACGTCTTTTTTGGGATCTTGAATCTTGAATCCTACCCCCTTGGATTCAAGAGGCCTTTTCGGATCTTGAATCTTGAATCTTGAATCCTACCCCTTGGATTCAAGAAGTCTTTTGGGGATCTTGAATCTTGAATCTTGGATCCGATGTACTTAGGGAAGGGTGGGATGGGAACAAAATTGCAAAAAATGCAATTTTTGATCACAAAAATGCCCTAAGTTTTAGAGTCCAACATGCTAAGAAAAACTGTGTAAATACGATGAAATTTGCTTGAAATGTAGGTCTTGGGGGGGTACCATATATATATATATATTTAAATTTATATGCACGCACACACACATGTACGCTATATATATATATGTATCTCTACTTCTCTCTCTCTCTCTCACACACTCTCTCTCTCTCTCTCTGTCTCTCTCTCTCTCTCTCTCTCTCTCTCTTTCTTTCTCTATATCATACGGGCATCCATTGACACAAGAAAATCTCCCAGCTGCGGTTTCCTTCGACTCCAGGTGCCGATGGCCAGAGGCACAGAAGATGGTGAGCCCAGTCTCAGCTGTGGAAACCCACAGAAATAGATGATTTACCCCTATAGAATGGAGATTTCCCACATCTTTGTTGTTCACAGGGGGATATATTTATATATTTATATATTTATATATTTATACAT